GGTTTAGGTTAGATATCAGGAGGCGCTATTTCACGGTCAGGGCGGCTAGGGTCTGAAACCAACTTCCAAGAGAGGTGGTGCAGGCTCCTACCCTGGGGGTTTTTAAGAGGAGGTTAGATGAACACCTTGCTGGGGTCGTTTGACCCCAGTACTCCTTCCTGCCATGGCAGGGGGTCAGACTAGATGATCTGCTCAGGTCCCTTCCGACCCTAGAAACTATGAATGCAGTTAACAGATATGGTGACACTTGGAGCACAAATTTTAAGTTTAGTTCCAAGTCATAAACAGGTCTCAACATTTTGTAGTATGGGAGCAGAAGGGCAACAGAAGTTGAAGGGATGTTACCTTGCACTCATCTGCGGAGAGATTATGATACAGTGGGCATCCTGATATGGAAAAGTGTCTCTCATGCTTCCCTGTCAGGTGTCCTATGGAGAATCAGAAAAAAAGCCTTTCAGCTTCTAAGTCAACAAAAAACCCCAAAGACAGCATAGCATGCGCCTGCCTTTCAAAAAAAAAAAGGGCTAACTAAATGCATCATCCTTATCAGAGGATAAAATAAATCACGTTTTGTGATACAACTCATAAGGGGCCAAGATGGAGGCTCTTCTTACTCTAGCCCCAAATCTACATGCTCCTCCTCAACCGGATTGATATACTATTGGCTTTTATCAACTTTCCTCCAAGTATTGTGCTTCTGATAGTGATTGGCAGCTTAACTGAAGGACTCAATGTTTACCCCAAATCTCTATATTAATGACCTATCTACTTATTGATGGATCATTCTGTCTTTGAGTTACACTCCTTTCACATCTCCTTGTTCTTTTGTCTCCCCAACTGCATGCAAAAATGCCACAGACTTTACAAGGATTGAAATAAAAAGTTCCACTGATTTGCTGCCCAGAATATTGCAGGATGCCAGCAAAACAGCGTAAGTGATTCATCTTTGACAACAGAAGGACAAAGCTCACCAACACTAGCCTGCCTTAGTTTTAACTGGCAGAGACTACTTCAGGTTAGTAAGGTGTTTTCAGACTCCCTAGCTCACTCAATTGCTTATGTGAGATGTAGCAAGGGGCAACTTGTGGTCTTGTACTTGGGAACATAAGCAAGATTGAAAACTTTTGCCACATAGTCCAAAGAAACATCAGGTGACAAGACTTTACTAACTGGATTTCAACTGCTGACTTTACAGTTAGACTTCAACACGTTGACCTTCCAAAGCCAGCTCTCCATAGAATTCAGCAATAAATTCAGGGCTTTTTAACAGTGATATAGCATGAGAGAAGCAGTTCACTGATCTGGATACAGAAGGAGATGCTTGGAAAAAACGAAAAAGGAGCCTATTGTGTTGTCCTATAATGTCATCAATCTGTCTCTCTTCCTCACGACCCCAATTGCTCCTGGCCAAAAAACATCCCTGAAAGCATGCACCTGTTGTTGTATTCCATTCCCATTAAAACCCATGATGCTCAAATATGCAACTCCACCCAGTGAAACGCAGGCTACCGATCTCAACAGCAGAAAGGGAAAGAAGACTTCTCTTGGACAAGGATTTACCTAGAGAGTTACAGCCAGGAGTAGGACACTTCATGTTGAAGTTGTAGCTTTCATGAAAGCGGCGGCGTTTGGGGCGGTGAGAAAGGTCACTTCCAGAATCCTTCATGGACATATCCTTGGCAATGCTCTCATCATGGGACACATTGGGACTGGAAATATCGATGTCTGACTCTGAAGAAGGGGCATTCCCAGTTGGGGTGCGAGGGGGAGACTCATCATGATCTGCTGCATTTTTAGTGTCTGAATAAAAGATGAGATGTTACAAATTTTGCACAAATGGAAAATTTACAAAGAAATGTCTTATGTGAATTCAGACAACACACTCATAACTCAAACCTACACGCTTAGGGAACTGCCCCCAACCCTCACAGACAAGGCACAAAGCTTATGGAATATCTTTAAGCACTTAAAGCCATACCTCCCCCCTCCATACCTCTATCAGAAAAGTCTACCACTTGCTCAGTTTCTGATCCAGAAGAGCGAGTTTGTCGGAGTGGGTATTTTTTTGGAGTCACGGGAGTAGGCTGTTGTTGGCTGCGTGTCACCCTCCTGGTAGAATATACAGGCTCCTCTGTCCCAAATGATGGTGGATTCCGAACAGGGCTGGAATCTAAGTCAACAACAGTTGATCCAATTGTCAGCTTCATTCAGGGCAACCACCATGAGTCACAGATCTGTCTCCCATCTGATCCCAAGGTCAAGTTCTTGGTACTACAGGTCTAGTTCTTATCAAATAATATATGACAGCTTGATGCCAACTGCAGTCTTCTCTTCCACACCACAGGTGTATCTACCAGCTTTGAGATTGGTTTCATTATTCCGAGCCACATTCTTTGACAGTTTTACAGCCACTAGGACCTACTAACAGTCTAAAGAATGAAGGACCAAATCAAACTACTCTGAACTCCCATTATTTATCCAGAACTTACTAAACAATTCCAATTCAGCAGGTCTGAATGAGAATCAATACTGTTTAGATTGGCTTTGCGTGTACTACAGCTGCTTTTGGCACATGCCATTATCTAACACCCTGTATGTAGTCTTGAACTGTTACCACTTTGGAGTCTATAACAAATTATTCAGAAAAAGTGTCTCTCTTCTGCTGAAAAACAGGGATGCCTCAGATGCCAATCAAAAATAACTGTTATTTTCTAAAAAAATTTGGTCAAGAACTACAAGAATTTCTTACTTGGAAGAAAACTGTTTGAAAAATTCTCTTAGCAAAGCCTACAGATAAAACAAGGGAATCAGAAGATCTTACCCCTTTGTTGCCATTTCTCTTTTTAGACAAACAGATGGAATTCGATTTCCACAGTAATTACTATCAGCCAAGAAAATTTCTCAGATCAAGAAAATGAGGAGGTGGAAAAGCACAACAACCCCTCTTTAACAATCTGGATGTCAAAACGTAAAAACATGCAACATGAACTCAATTGACAATATGTTGGATACATACTGTTGTACAACAAACTCCACCGATATGAAAACATCTCATACCCGTAACACAACCATCCAACTTTCATATTTGTACAGCCTAAAAGCCCTCAACTATCCACATTTTACTTTTGGTTTAGTTATTTGGAGACTTTAGTGACAAGCACAGTCTATAAGAACCAAGTGATTTTACCAGGCTAAACTTTAAGAGTAAAGGCCTGAAGGTACAGTTTTCAGGACTGGAGTTACAGTGAAGTTTTAGCAGAAAACGAACTCCAAAGCATGATTAGCTGCTCAGAGGTTTTGAAAATTAGGTTTTCAAATTAACAAGTCACTTATAAAAATAACCAAAAGATGACTTCAGAGATTTATCACAAGTTCTTCAGGCAAATATTTTGCGCTTCTGCATAACAGCTGTCAACAATCTCTAAACACTTCAAAATTAAACATCACAAAGCCTCTATCATGTAGATAGAGTCATTATGCACTAAGAAACTCTAGTAAGAAAGGCTACAAGACTTTCTAAAGGTCTCATAAAATGAGTGGCAAAGCTAAGCACAGAACCAATGGTTCAGTTCCCACTCCCTTTAACTACCGTAAACCAGGACACAGGAATCCTGACTTCCAATCCCAGTTTAAAATGCTAGATTATGCTGCCTAATTTCAATAATGCATCCTTGCAACGTCTTTGTACCTCACCCTAGCATTATTATACTCAATGAGAAAAAAAAAACACAGCAAATGAGGGTTAGCCAAACTGAAGGAACAGATTCCCTAAAATGTATTTAAGTATATCAGGCTGAGAACATAGAGACTGTTTGCCAAGTGTCATTTGGGGTATGTAGAAGAAAGGCATTACCTTGCGAGCTCTGACTCAGCCTGGCTGAGGAACGAGTCACACGGGCAGACCGCCGAGATGTGCCATCACTTTCAGAGCTGTCTGTATGCTCAGGATCAGTAGAGAAATCGGAGTCTTCAGTGCCATCTGAACTACTGCCGGCGTTCCTCTGCAGCACCACAGACCCAAACATTAGCAAGAGAACAGTTAAGACTTCAATACTACTCCTACTAACACAAGAACGTTTGGGGCCTGAATGTTATAGAACAGATTCAGACTTCTCGAAGGCAGATCGCTTTGGATAAAAGCCTCCCTTCAGCACGAGAAACACAAGCTGCGGGGAAGCGGTACCAGTAACTCCAGACTTCTGCAAACTTGTCCGATGCAAACAAGTTGCACCAGTCTCACTGGAAGGAAGTCTTGTGAGCTATCAAGGCACCAGCTGCCTCAATTGAAATGAAAAGCTGGGGCAGCCTGGGAGTAGCACCTCCCCTAGGCCTGGGAAAGCCCCACTCTGTCCTGGCACAGACAGGCAGGTGGGCGCACCACAGTGAGGGCAAGGCAGGTGCTGAGCTGTAAAGAGAGGACAGGACAAGCCCAGGACTAGGAGCTGGAGACAAGTCACTGCTGCCCTTGTCCTGCTGGGGCAGGAGCCGGGCAGGCCAGAGGAGCCGGCCTAGGCTGGGGCAGGGCAGGAGGGAGAAGACTAGGGCAGCCCAGGCGACAGGGTTCACCCTGCTGGAAGAACGGGTGTCCTCGCTGCTTTGTTTTGCACCCGCGGCTGCAGAGCTGCCGCCCTCCCTCTACATCAACCAATCACCATCAGAGAGGGGAGGGGCCGAAAGGAATCCCCTCCAATAAGAACTCCCATAGAGACGAGGCGCGGCTCTAAGGCGTGACTGATGGGCTGCCCCAGCCTATCAGCTAGAACCTCGCTCTCACAGAAACATCCATTCGGGGCGGCTGGGGGGAAGGGAACACGAGAAACAAGGCACGCGCGGGAGGTAATCGTGGGGGCGGGGAGTGGCAGCCGCACCGGCCAATCAGCGCCCAGCTGGGGCATTAGGACAAGCCAAACACACGCAAGTCCTTCGTTCTCTTGTCCAATCGGAACTGCAAGGAGGTGGAACAAACCTCCGGCGGGGGGGGGAAGAAAGGTAACCGTTGGGGGGCGATGACTGACAGCGATGGTACCCAATCGGGGCCCAGCGAGCGCCAACGGGATCCATTCAGGGAGCAAGAGAGGCGGGTACAGGGGGCTGAAGGCCGCTCTTTTCCCTCGGTTTTTGTGCCTCTGGGGGAAAGTTCGCTGGGGGCGGGAACGGGAACAAGCCCCCGCGAGCTCCCTGCCCTCTCCCCAAGAGCCTTTCCCGCCCCCACAGTCTCCCTCACCTTCCTGCGCGGCATCCTCGGCGGGGGTGGAGGCAGCGAGGGCGCCTGGTCCCCAGCGCCCCCGGCCCGAGAAGCGGCGGCGGCCGCCGTGGTGGTGCCGGCGGGCTCCGTGGTGACAGCCGTGTCTCCTGCTCTTCGTCCCCGACAGCTAGTGGCGCGCCAGTCCGCGCTCCGCGGCTGCCAGCAGCCCCCGCTCCCCGCTGGGTCCCTCACGCTTCCGCCGGGACACGGGTCACACCCCCGTCACGTGACGCGCACTGAGCCTCACGCCAGCGGGCGCCGCCATCTTGGGCTTGGACAGGTGTCCGGCTCCGCGACAGCGACGCTGCGGCGGCCATGTTGGTTCGGGGCACTGGCGTTTCCGAGGGGACGGGAGGCCGCCGTGGTTCTGGGAACGAGGCGACTGACGGGTTCTACTGAAGACCTGAAGGCGTAGACGGCCATCTTGGGTTGGGGCAGGTTGTTGACCCGTGAGTCTGGGCGCTGTGCTAGGCGAGGGCAAGCTTAGCTTGGCTCTGGGCGGCCATCTTGTATTCTGGCGGAAGTGTCCCCCCTCCCCCATCTAGTGCCTTCCCTCCGTTAGAAGTAATGAGCGGTTTCCTTAGGCGATTCCCGCTTCCCGGGGCAGCCGGCAGCCTGTGTGCTTGGGGGACCCCGGAACCTGCACTGAGGGGCTCGTGCGGCCTCGAAGCGCCGCGGGTGAGTGCGGGCGGCTCCCTGGGAAACGGAAGGCGCCGTCTTGGTATTTCTGTGGGCAGCACGGGCCGCGCCCCCCCGCTTCCTGGTCACATGCTGCTCGGGGAAGGTGCGGGTTCCCGGTTGGAAGAGCAGCAGGATCCCTGGCGCTGCCTTCCCCGCCGGGTGGTGTGGGGCAGGGGCTGACCAGCCTTGCCAGGTCTTAAACATGATATTATGGTATCGGGAGCTCAAAAACGAACATATTTGCTGAAAAATATGCAAATAGATATACAAAAGCATGCAAATAAGCCTTATTATTGACTTTATATTGCTCATTTTAACTCACCAGTGAGTGAGTGAGAACTGGGTCATCAAAGTTGAAGTATTTTGTTATTTTGAGGCTCGGATCAAGTGGAGACCTGTTCTTACTGCTTTTCGGTCTCTTGAAGGCTCAGGTTAAGCGTAGCCTATGCTTATCTAGGGGAAATTCCATGATCACTATGGTGGCTTCCTAGTTGCTCCCGGGGAAGACCGCTCTGCTGGCATGGGATAGTACCTGCATAGGTAATGCATAATTAACCTTGGCTTTATGCCCACTTTCTGGAAATGGGGGACTCCTCCCTGGCTTGCTTCTTGGGTCTTGCGGTTGGGGGGCAGGCGAAGCTCAGGGGCACCCAAGCCTCTGGGCATAGGCCTGCAAGTAGGATGCCCACCAAGGGTTTTGGGAACATGTGAGACCCTGGATGGAGGTGGGGGATGCTGCTGGTGGTAGGGCCACTTATGGTTTTGGATTGACTCATGGATTTGAAATTGATTTGGCCAATTTGACTGGGAATACAGAAAACTTAAAAAAAAAAACAAAAAACCCCCAGGGGTATCTGAACCCCAAGATCTCTGGGCTTGGGCTTACACACAGGGTGCCTGTCAGTGGATTTGTGAGTATCTGAAGATGGAGGATACTTATCGGTGGTAGCACCACGTGGACTTGGACGATTGAGTTCTGCTCAGTCAGTAGGATTTGGAACTGATTTGGCTAATTTGACCTGGAACACAATAATAATAATAATAATAATAAATCTTTATTTTGAGGCAAGCAGTCATAAGAAAGTGCTGACAGCAAACCCAAAAGTCGGTTAAGACTCTCTGAGAGTGACTTGGCTTTTGCATATGCTGCATTAATTAGCTGCCTGAAAAATTATTGTACATTTTGAACACTTTTAATGTTATTGATCATACATTGTACAAGGGTTGAAATTATTGTACAAATACAATAGTTATCGTAAACCTGGCTGCACTGGAGCTGACTGCTGGGAGACCACAGTCGGGTTCTTTCTTGGCACTCAGGAGGAAGGAGCAAGGCTATTCCCCAGGCTACACAAGTGCCTGCCTGGTGTGGGCCATGTTGCTTTGCCTCCAGGCTAAGTTTTTCCTGGTCCTAAGCATGTGGCTGTTTCCATTCTTTGCTTCTAATAGGACCTCTTTGACATCTGCAGCACTGTCTCAATAAATACCAGGGAAAGTCCTGGATGTGGTTTATTGTGGAGAAACAAATATAGGAAGACCACATAGCACTTTTCTGTCTTTGAAGGAAAAGTAGCATGGGCTACCAGCAAATGTTCTGTGGACTATCTAGTAGGAGAATCACTTCCCTGGTAGCTTAGAGAAGTGGTTCTCAACCTTTTTTTGTACCAGGACCCATTTGTAAGCATCAACGGCCATTCCCGACCCAGTACCCCTCAGTCCTAATCCCTTGCCTCCCACCCCCAGGCTCCAACCCCCCCTAGCGTGTGGGGCATGGGGGGCCCCAAGCAGCCTCTTGCAGGCTGGAACTGCATTTTTAAAGTTTGTTTGCAACCTTTTCATAAAATCTTGCCACTCACTTTTGGGTCATGAGCCACAAATTGAGGAACATTGGCTTAGAGGATGGATAACCAGGCTGCAGATGTATTAAGCCCCCCTTTTTTTAAATTGAGTATTCACAGTAAATTCAAAAAGCAGAGTAACATGCGTGAGGCATGAAAAGTATCCAATTTTTGCTCCAGGCTTGTGTGGTTTTCATTTGTACTGATCTGTGACAAGACTGTAATTCTTCTTTCACACAAAAATAGGTTGTACAAACACAGGCTTCCAGTACAGCAATGAACTCAGTATCATAGAGGCCTGTGTCTGCAGTTCGTGTTGGAGGGGTACACAAAAATAAAACTTGGCAGCTTAAACGACTCCGGCTCCTAAGTCCCAGTAGGAGTGAAAGTCTCCTTCCAAGCTGATGGGAGTTGAGGACTTCAGTCACCAGATACTGTTGACAGTTTTACCCAAAGTTACAGAGTTTTAGAGGGCAGAGAAAGGAACCAAAATAACAACCTCCTTTGTTTTGAAATACTTTTTACATTTACTTCGTATATGGATTATAGGCTTAAGTTGGTATTTTTTTCATGTTCTTTAGAATTAGCCTAATGGAGCATAGTACAGCTGAATATTTTTAGTGATGCAAACTTTACTCTTTTTTATATTCTAATGTTACAAATCCGGTGAGTAACTCTCAGAAAACTAGTGCGCCAGCCAGAAACAATGGGGGAAAAAAAAAGAATGGCAGGTTTTTAAGTTGCAGCGTTTTTCATCTTCCTTGTTCTGTCTTTTATGCAGTTACAGACATTCTTTTTTTAATGGGATGGGAAAACAGATAAGCTAAAAGCTTAGTGAAGCGTTTGCTTATTCCTACTACAATAACAGATAATGTTGTGCTCTACAACTAATCTCTGTCAGTTTAAAGATCTCAAAGTGCTTCAAACAAAGTCTCACAACAGCTTTGTGAGACATTTCAAATAAGATATAGTCCACAGTAGAAACTTTTGGCAGCATAATATATAAGACTGCAACTCTTTAAAACTCTTTCTGTCGCGCTCTCTCTCTCTTTTTAATATTGGCTAGAAGCCCTAATGTAGACAGTATTTTTTCTGGCAATGAAGTCTGTTTGCCAGTAGTACAACAGGGTCCTGGCCCATAACTAGAGTTTCTCAGCACTATGGTAACATAGCATAATAATAGCTTGTTTCATTTGGGGAATGATTAGAAGTCATATTGGCAAGAGAGCTATACCAGCAAACCTTTCTTGTGTAGGCAGTGCCTTAAAGTGTGTACTGATGAGTTACACATCTCTTCTGAACCTTAAACCTCACAAAATGGAAAATGCATTTTCTTTCACCCCCCCAAATTGTGATATATCAGATTTGGAGGATTTCATATTTCCAAGGTTCTCAAGCTGGGTGTTTTTTTTGTAATAAAGACAGTTGATTTATTTGAAGAGGTATAGCAGTCTAGAAAAGTCCTGATCATTTAAGACCATATAGCACCTTTCTGTCTTCGCAGGAGAAGTGTGGAAGTATGAATTCTAAATTTTTTGGCCTAGTTCTAACATGGGTAGGCATATTCTCTTTGGCCAATTCCTTACAGATTCAGTTGAATAAAGAGGACTTTACTAAACTGTAGTATAATGTTTCTGTCCATTGTTAAACACCATCACAGCCAGCCAGTAACTACATTTTAGTGACTTGGTGGTTTCTTTTTATAGCTTGCATATCAGTTACAGTTTGTTAAGTCTTCCAAGACCATCTGGATGAAAAGTGATATACAAATGAAATATTTTATTACTTTTGATTTTTTTAAAATGATACTCAAGTTAACTTCTTGCAAATGTCACGTTGCATACTTCACAGGGCATGCAAGTGCAGAAGGGAAATTACTGAATAAGTGGAGTGGATGAGCCAACCATGACCAGCGTTCATTCCAGTTGCTTAGCTAAAGTTAAAAATAAACACTGGAGCTAAATGGCAAACTAACAACATTTTGAAAATTGCTCATAAAATTGCTGTGTGCTTCCCAGTTTTAATACATCCCTTATTTCTCCCTAGAGACAAAAGTTGTTTAGCTGAGAACAAAGGACATTTTGTGACCTTCATTTCCATATTTAAGATGGCCCTGGCTTTATTGTTATAGTTGCATCTTGTTGTTATGGTAACAGAAATCTTTAAGCAACCAACTGTATGGTTATAGTAGTTTATTAGACTCTCCCTACTCTTTAATTTTGGAGTTAGCATTCACTTAGAATTAAAGGACCCAAACCTGTACACATCCCTAACACTCAGACCAAATGGAAAGTCCGTTCTTGTGATCCTTTGTTTAACAGGCTGCAGTCTATATCAATATTCTGCACTGTGGTTATTCAATTAGGGATCTCCAAAGTATTTGACTAAGGTGAACACATACTCAGTTACAGAAGACAGATGTTGAAACTTAAACACATACTGTTCAGTAACTTTCTCAGAGGTGATAAAACTTGAAAGACAATCCCACGGTTCAGTATGCTGTACCCCTAACTGTTTTATGGCTTGTTTGTTTTTTGTTGTTTTTTTTAAGTACAAAGGTGATCTAAAGGAAATGGATTTATACCCCTATTTTAACAAAAGGTGGGAGGGGAGGGGGAAAGAAGGACATATTCTCTGCCTGTAAATTCTGTTCAGGAACCTGATGAGAAAAGCAGATGGTTGCCCTTGTTGCCAAACTGCTTCACTCCCTGTTGGGAAGAGTATGGGATTGGGTAATGTTTGTTTGTTCAACAGCTTACCAGAATCTTTCTCACATATGTGCATCTACACTAGAGCTAATTTTAGGGGCAGGGTGATTCAATGGATTTTTAATGAGATGTAGAAATAGTTGCAACTTAGCTTGCTAGTTCAAAATTCAGTCCAAGATTGGAATCGCAGGAGGAAGGTAAAATCTGATGGCTATTCAGTGACTTGTTTCTGGAATATTCCTAAAATTCCTGTCCAGGTCCTAGTGAACAGGGATCAATATCACAAAAACACCAGCATTGCTGACGTTTGTTAAATTGTGGGGGAGGGGCCCAAGAGCTACAGATCAGCTCTGAAGGTCAGTAGTAGAGAGATAATATAAGTGTGTGCGCCTTCCTACCCATATTGTGCTTGTCTCAACCTAGTGCAGTCAGTCTTTTACACAAGCAAACTGAGTGACTTTTAAAAAAATGCATTTAGAAGAGGACATAGGGTGGTGCTCTGTTTCCTTTTGCTTTTTTGTTCTGTGAATTGTGTTTAAATAAATTTCCTTGCATACAGAACTGTGGGCTGGGTCTGAAATGAAGATGGTGCTTTTATCATCTCTATTTTTCAGGGCTACCTTCACCTCTGAATTAGGAACAGTGCTTTGACAGTGTCACATTCACACTGACTTGACTTCACCACAAGATGTCACTCTGAAACGCTGAAGTTAAAGGGGCTAAGGAGCTGGATCTGCCTCTGCATATGAGAGTTGGATTATTTATTTATGAAGGAAAAACATTTCTGACCGAAGGATTTATCAGGTTCTTGAGATGCAGTTTATTCCATTAACCAGGTCTGACTCTTATGAAGAGGGCCCAGAATGAATAACTTTTGAGTCATGTCGGGTGGTGCTTTTAGAAGCACCTAGTTGACTTAGTTTTGGAGAGTGAAAATAGAAATGCCTACATACTCAGAAGTATTTAGGAGCTTAACTCCCATCACTTTCCATAGGAGTAAGACTTCTAAATGCCTTTGCTCTAGGCCACTAGTTCCCAATCTGTGGTACGCTTACCACCACTGGTATGCAGGCACCCCGTCAGTGGTATGCATTAACAGATTTATTATAATTTATATGACAAAAATTTGCTGATGGTACTTGAGGTTGAACTGAAAAATTTGCTGGTGATACTTAAGGTTGTATCATGTTAAATTGGCAGTGTGCAATCTATTAGTTTGGGAACCGCTGCTCTAGGCTTCAGGAGCATAAATGGTCTTGGAAAACAATGGGACTTGGGCACTAATGTTTCCTGAATCAGTTTGAAAGTGATCTATTGTCCATATCTCAGCAGCACAAGCAACTAAAAGGGCATCAAAGAAGAAAGCTCTGTTGGTAAAACATTGTAGTTTGTCTGATCAGAAAAACCTGCCTTTGTAATAACCAGGGCCATTGATAGATAGTGGTTAGGGCAAGAGGCCTCCCATACTTACTATGAGAGCATTAAGGGATTTACCCAAAGCTCTAGTGTAACAGCCATGTAGACCAAACCTCACTGATTGTTCATTATCTCTATTTTTTATGGTCTTGAGTTACAGCAGTGAATTACGGCTATGAATATGGAGTGGCTACAGGCTTCCCACTCCTGCTTACACAAATTCCCTAGATGTGTACCAGATGGTTGCAGTCGCATTTTGTTCCAGCTTCCTAGAGTTCCATTTTTAAAATCTGTCCTTCTCTTCTCCTGGCCAAAACCTCTGGCCAGCAGAGCAGCGTCAGAAAAGCTTCTCAACCCAAGCACAGAATGCGAGGACAGTTTCCACATTCAGCTCTTCTTTCCCTGCTGAGATCAAGCTGTACATGACAAATGGTCACCATCTTCTACAAAAGCAGCACTGCAGTAAGAGATGATGAGGCCTTGATGCTGCCAACTGGATGTAGCTGGCTAGGCATCTTGAATCTGCTTCTTATGCCTTGAATCTTGCATCGGTGGCATTTGTGCAAGATGCCAGAATTCTGATTTGGTAGCATATTACATCCCTTCTGCATGGGTGTAAATGAATGCTGGGAAGTGCAAGGTAGTAGAGAATCTAGTTTGGACTAAGGCGAGATGAGATTTCATAGCAATATGCATGGCCCTGCAAATGCATTAGCCTTCACTTATGCTGAAATCAGGAGTGCCAAGAACTTCTCAAGAGGTCTTAGTTCATTTCTGGGTCAAACATAATGTGAGTGAACTTGTATAACCCAGGTAGACTGTAGCAGTGGTAAAGACCATCTAGACTGCTGGATTTGTTTCTTTATCATCACAATATACTATTCTAGTGGATTTAGCCATTAAAATATTCAGCATCTGTTGCATGCAAAGGGGACTCCAGTTTTGGGTGTATGTGCCTACAGTCATTTCAGCAAACAGTTGGCTGAGATGGAAAGATGCCCCTTTTCATTCCCTCCTGCTCTGATCTCCCATGGAACACAGGACAGCACAGAATCTTCTTGTCTGGCAAACCCAAGTTTCCTTTTTTCAAGCCAGTTTGAATTTGAATGCATGCTGGCATGCAATGTAAACAACAGCTTCAAAAGCTTCAATATTAAATGACTGTCTTGGCCATGTACCTCTTACTGAGCTGGAAGGTTTACAGAACTCAGTTAGCTTTAGGTGGACAAAGGTATTGCAGTAAACTCCAAAAGAATCCTTCCAGTCAGTTTTCTGAGGCAGCTCTGGCATGCAGACAGTCAACTACAGCCAGCATTTTCTGGCATCAAGGAACAAGGTCAAGCTAGTTTGGCCCAGCTGACTTTTTAGTGTAGTGGAAAGCAGTCCAGTCTGGGTTTTGCTGAAAGCGGAAAAGTTTTCACTTAACTACAGCTGAATATAGCAAGACTTCCTGAATCACTTCCCTACCCCCTCCCTAAGTGCTTACTCTTATAATCAAGTTCATTAAATAAAGCCATAACACAAATATTTTTCTTAGAGTTAAAACCCTTCTTATTAGACCAGATGTTCTTATGCCTCCCTTGCCCCAGCTGTACCAAACTTCAGGTTTGAGTGGGGGTTTGCTACCATATTGGCTGATTTTGGATTTATGACCTGCTCCTTTAATACATTCTTTCCAGTCTAGGCAGCAGCGCTCTCCAACTGCCTGGCACTGATGTTAAGGTCTTTTTTCCTAATCAATCAAGTCTTTTGCACACTTCTTTAAAGGAAAACTCGGGTCACTTTATTCAGCCCAATGGCACAAACATTCATTAGGGTAAGAAGCATTTGTCACCAAGAATAAGACACTGACACATGTGGGAAGTGAAGTTAAAAATGTAATCTTGCTAGGCATTTCTGAACCTATCTCATGGGCAGTTATTTTCCATTAAAACTGACTCTGGTAAAGTTGGCAACCAGTTGTAGAGGTTGTAACCCAGTTTTCAACTAATCTGAATAATAACTGTAGTAAAAAAAGCTGTAAGAACAGATTACATCTGGTCAATGTCCCTGAAGTTGGTGGATGACTGTAGGCAAAATCTGGCTTTCTCTCTTCCATTGTTTAAACAGCAGCTCCATCTTACTGTTGTCCTGCACCTTGTGAAGTTATTCCCATTCGGACAAAGTGTGTGCAAAACGTTGTCATTCTGATTTGCTACTTTCTATCTGTATGTACTTTGTATTGGTAAAATGCTACAAAATTGGGATGGTGAGTTTGTACCCATGAGCATGAGTATGAAGGGCAGAGCAGTGCTGAATGAGGATAACTAGCTGCACTGCTATAGACCTTATCATTGTCAAACCATTATTAATGCACGTGAGCAAACAATTACACTGCTTTCCATTCTGCTTGCACTGTGCCAGAAATGCTCATCAGCATGATGGCTACCTTAAGACCAGGTTCCAGCTGGAATTGAAAGGTTTTTCTTTTTTAAAACTTCTGTCTAAGTTTATTTCTGGCTTTAAAAAAATTACTTCTGCTGTGAACTCTTAGACTGTTGAGCTGGGCTGAATGTGGTGTTCTTCCTTTGATATCCACTTTTTTTTCCTCTATAACTAAATTCTACTAGTTACTAAACCAGCTCGCTCTATATTATTTCCTAATTTTGTGGGTTGTTGGGCTATTTTTGTAATGTGAACTCCATCTTGCTAGACAGAGTTACTGGGACCACCTTTCTTCCATGATAAATAACACTTCTGTGCCACATAAAGCAAAGTAATAGCAAAAAAGTATTAATGCACATTTAACTTCTTAGCAATTTCTTTGTATCCAGCAACCAAAGGCATCACCATTTGATCAGCAGGCCAGCAGCTAATGCCCTGTTGACCAGAGTTTTAATTAAAAAGAAACTCTTGTAAATTAAGCCATACACAATATTTTCTCCATTCTAGGCATATAATGCTTTTATGTGTCTTCCACTGTTCAGTTTTTTTCTTAAGCAAGTTATGTTTCTTCACTTTGTATGTAATGTAGTCTGTCTCTTTTTCCACCTCCCCTCACCCCTCCGGGGAACTACAAAGCATTGTAACTTTAGATAAGCATCTAATATAGGGTGACATTTAGAGCCATTTTATTGTGATACAGGAAGAGTAACAGATTTTTTTCTGAAAGGGAGGTAATGGTAGAGCTAGAAACAGGATCCATGCATGGATCATTCTGAATTATAGCACTGCCACATTGCTTCCTTTACCAGGCCCTTTCTCTTATTTCTGAATCCCTCCTTTATCCAGGATTGATTCCTCAGTACTTGACTGGCTTCCAGTCATTGGTGTTGCCCCTGCCCCTCATTTACATGCTCCTTTACTTCATTAGCCATACTGAACCTCAGTTAATCCTCTAGAATGCAGTTTCCCTTTCTGCTGTATGATGTTACATTCCATAAGGGGAGGGGGCTGCCTCTCCATGACTAAGTGCAGGCTGTCCCTGTCATAAGTCTTTGCTTTTGATAGGGGTTGTATTCTGCTTGTATTGAAGTAGATGGCATTAACTGCCACTGATCTCACTGTGAGCAGGATCAGGTACTGAAATAGCTTAGATGCATGATGCATTCTCTTGGTTCCCCTGAAGCAACCATCTCTAGGGGCTAGGGGAGGGAATGAGGCATTCCTACACTGCAGTTTACAGTAAGAATTTTGGTCAAGAGTACAGGGAGTAGGGGAAGTGGTTCATACAAAAAATGTGTCTTTGATCTATCACTTCTATGCTCAACCTCTTAAAACCTAAGCTTGGTCTCCATCCCACCCATAGTAAACAGCAAGGTGTTTACTTAATCTCGTTTAGATTTTGAGTGATGGACCACAATTATTAAATTGTAGCTAGATCTTTTTTGTCCTAAGATGTTTTCCATTTGCTTTTCAGTTCCTCAGGCAATGCTGACAGAGCTGAAGAAGAGCAGATAGTGGAATTGAGACATGTAATGGAGGGTTCTTTAAAGGTGTGACTCAGAGCAGTGTGGGGGGACTTCATGCACATAAATAGATTCTCCTACACACTCAGAATGCAAGTGCTTAGCATAGCACACAATAGACTCTGTCTTTAAAAAAGACTTCTCTTTGGAGTCTATTGACTAGGTCAGCAATCTACTTCACATGCCACAGGACAGATATGGTAGATTCTGAAGCTCTGCTGCATTTTCTGTGACCAATGAGGCAGCAGGGTTTCTGGTAGTCTGAGAACACAGATCTGGGTGGGTAGTTGGCTCTCTGCATAGCTGTCTGCTATAGATCTGTACTGTTGCTTGCCTGTGCAGGGTTACAGTGGCTGTAATGGCAAGATTAATGGGAAAAAGCAGATATAGCATGATAAATAAAAGTTGGGTTCTTAACCTATGGCCATCACAAGACTGTATCGCTTCTTTTATCTTACAGCACAGGATTCAGAAACTGCCTTAATGGGGAGATGACTGCATTTTCTCTGCAATAACAGAGTGCAGTATCCGGGAACTAGCACATGAAAAATGTAAGTGCTCTACTTCTGCCACATTCAGAGCCAGCATAGTGATTTTTTTTTTTTTTTAAACAAAAATTGGGGGGGTGGGAAGCAAGCTCTCAAAGAGCACCAGAATATTCAGTGTAGAAATGCCTGTTTCTGTACCCAATATCAGGCTGGATGATGTTGGGGAAACTCAGCATTTGGCTGAGATTAAGATGGCTATAGCCCCCTGGATGGATAATAGCTGACAATCTGTCCCATTGTGGGCTAATTGCAAAACCTCCTTTTATGAGAGAACTAAGAACTGAGGTGGTCAGCCTTGCCAGTGACTGGCTTGATCTCTGTCTGTACCATCTACTTACACTTCAGTTCTGCTGTTCTTGGGGAGCTCTGCCTGAAAGGAGAGTTGGCAGCAGCAAGCAATGCCCAAATGAACAAGGTCACAGACCCAGGAGATTCTTAGTTAAGAATCTAGGGAAGGGAAAAACAACTGGGTATAGAAAACTAGGTCAGATTGGAGACTCAGTCTGGAATGGTGCTTCTCAAAGTAGCAAAGCTCTATTCCATCCCATGGCAGCTTGCCACCCTCCTTGACTGTATTTATAGCATGAAAGTTGGTCAGTTCAATCACTGAGATGCATTTGTACTAATCTCTCATGTCAGAGTGAAGCAGAAGCATGGAGAACCAATCATGTTTAGTTGTCCAATGGTAGGTGTTGGGGGTTCAATGGAAAGGTCTAAAAGGCTGGGGAAGTGGGGTTGGGGGTGGGCACTGAAGCTACTAGTCGGATACCATAACAAGAAAGTACAGCTGTAGCTGCATCTCTGGACTTCATAATTCCATCTTTCACTGGGTTTTTATGATGGAGCTGTTTTCTTACCCAAGTGCACCATAGTAATTCCTTTTCCTTATATTTAGTGCCCCTAGCCAAGCACATTCATCTCCTTTTCCTTTCTCACTAGCCCCTGTGGATTTTCAAGAGGTAAGACTTATTTCAAGGAAGAAAATAGTCTTATTCTTGAAGACTTTTTTTACATAAAGCCAGCAACAATCCAAATTAGACTATTTAGCACAAATGTACTTTTTATACCTACATTTTGGAGGAACGGGAGGGACAGTACAGTTTGCTAGGACAACAGGTTCAAAATTCTTCTGCACCTGAAGTTACAATACAGGTGTGAGGTACTGGATGAACTGAGAGCCTGTATTTCTCTTTGAATGGAAGCTGTTGCTGTCTCAGAATATTCCTCGACACCCCCCCCCCACCTTACAATAGTATTGTGAATGTGGTCCTAGTGCTGCATCCTGGGAACTTCTGCACAGGGAGTCATCCCACAGAATCCCTAACTAAGCAAAAGGGGACTATTACATTTTTTACAAGGTGGCAGGGGTAGCATTTTGTCTCCGGTAACAAGAATCATAGCTCTTATCTCCTATCTGATTACATCAGAAGATAAATAGCATGTGTTGCTTTGCTTCAGTAACTGAAATATTGCAGTGTATGCACCACACGCCTTACAAGATAATTTGCCTCAAAATGAGACTGGGCTGAATGAAGTCTTCACATCTGAGCATTACCCCATGTGCTCTCTGATGACACGCAAATTGAAACACCTGGCCTGGTGAGCATTAAGATATTTTAAGAGAACAGGGAGCACTGTACTGCTGTGAGAGCCATTAGGGGAGATGCTCACTCCTTTCCCAAAATTCTGTTCTCAAGTGAGGCTGGCACAGCCCAAGCTGCTTTGCCACCTCACTCCTTCCCCCGTCATCTCTTTATCTAATTAAGCCACAGTTGCCCAGGCTCTGCTGCTTGTGTATGAGATAGGCCTGCCACACCCATTGTAATAGGACAAACCATTCTTCCCCTACAACTGTAGCCATTTGGAAGCAGAAAAATGTCTGTATCCATAAAAGAGAGAATCTGCTTGCAGGGTAGGCAGGGAGGAGAACTGCAAGAGCCTCTAGGTTTTTATAACTGCCTTTTGCAGTGAGGATTGGTCAAATTAAATGTTTACATATGTAGCTTGGAATGGGACTAAGCTGCACATTGTGTAGTATTTTTTTTATACAAGCCTTGCCATATGGTATTATTACAAAGCTCAAATGGAAGAAAGAGAGAGAAGTTATTAGGCACAAAGATGATTCCAAATTTTACTTGAGAATGGCAGAAAGTCAGAGGCAGAGAGATAGTGAAAGGCTTTTCTAGGCCGTGGGAAATGCAAGGCCCTTTCTCCTTTGCATTTGAATAGCTCAGACTGCAGGAAGGAATGGAGATGAGGTTAGCTTGAGAGCCAAACTTTCAGACTACCTCAGGGCCTGATTTCCAAATGTTCAACAGGCACAACTGGTGAGAGAGATTTTTGGCAGCCAGCAGATCACACTGTGACACTTGAACACATTTTTTAAAAAGAATTCTTAACTCTGAGCAACTTGGAAAACTTGGCACTAACTCTGGGGGTCGAGCTCTCTCAAATTTTGGTCCAAATGAGAGAAGGAATGTGAATTGGGTGCATCCCTCAATCCCAATTCTACAGTCTAACTCTACCAAGCAAAACTTTCATCCATGCAAAATCCCTGGGCTTTTGTGTGAGTGCATGGGGCCTGCATGCATAGAATTGCAGGACTGAGGCCTCATTTTGTACTGAATAGTATTTTTCTAAGAAAATGAACTCCTAGCAATCTTCAGGGAATTGGATTATTCCAGTCAACAAATGGCAAGTGGTGTGAATTACAGATAACTGGTACAAGAAGAAGCCATTGCATAGCAAACTGGCCCGACTTGTCTTCAACCTTATAGCATAGGAAGAACATTTTCAGTTGTTCATAATGAAGTTGTGTTTCAAAACCTACCTTCCTTTTGTGTTTTGAGTATCATTGCTGGGAGATTCTGGGTTAAAAAATTCACTACTTAAGAACTCCTACAGGACCACTGTCCATGAAGATGTGAAGTGTAGAATCTATCCCTTAACTGGCTTTTGTAGGTTGAGCTGAGTTTTGTGAGGTTGATAGTTTCTTAATGCTGTTTGACTAAATCTTAAAATAGCACTTTACTTCCTATATTTGTTTCCCTCTCTTAAGGAGGAGACAAAGACACTAACCTGGTAGCGTAAAGCAGAATTAATCAAGTCCATCCACTGCAGTTAGTTATACCAGGGGCTAAATTTGGTTCAGTGTATTTAGCTACAGTCAGCTTATCCCTATGTTTTCAGTTTGTTTATAGGATGTCGTTTTTGGTGTGGCATTATACTTGTACATTTTGATACCTGGAATGCTGGGGCAGTTAGGTCATGCTAAAATAAAGTATTATTAAGATTGATCCTAAACCTGATGCCTATATTCTGGTACAGCATTTGATCTATGCATCTTATCACCATATGTGGTTGCTTGATTTTCCTTTTCTATCCAGGCATCTCTGTGTGTAGTATGTCATGGGGCTTTTCTGCTTAACCATCCTGTTCTCAAGGCCCTACTGTAAGACAGGCTCCCCTTATGCAGATCTGGAGAGATGACACTGTGGAGACTTGGTACATTTTCTACATTTTTATTTGAGTCCTTTTCAGTATCTGCAGTCATAAGGTTTTAAAACGGGCAGAGTATCTTCTGGCATATGAATTTAATTTAAGAACATTTTGGGGAGATTCAATTCTACACCTCCTTTATTTTAAGCTGTTCTCAATATGGGATGGGACTCAAAATCTACAAGATTGGGACCCCAGGGGCAAAAGGCCTGATTCAACTCCCATTGAAGTCAATAGTAACAGGAGCTGGATCATAACCTAAAATCTAGGCTAGGAATTAAACTCTTTATTCCAAGTTGAAGTGTAGTCCTCTTCAGCTATGGTTTATTGATGCTAAGGATTTGCACTTTCCTAACAGACCAACCCTAATCTATTGTCCAAGCCCACAGAGCTTCACTTCCAGCCCATCTAATGAAAGTATTTATGCCATGCTTATCACTGTGGCAGCTGCATAAATCCAAAATAGCTTCTTAAGCTTCTCCTTTGTTCTTCTCTTCCTTGCCAGCCAGCACAATTTTTAAAACTATATTACTTTAAGGTAGGGGAGGCCTTTAGTCTCAAATTTCAGCTAGACAAAGGGAAAAAGTCTGTGGTCTATCTAATAATTTATAACACAGATTTATTGTTGCTCCTCAGCAGGTTTTTCTAGTTTAAAGACCAATTATAAGCATCCTCCTGACTTCAACTAAAATGGAGTTAGCCTAAAATGGGGTGCTTATGAAAACCTCAGCCATATAGTAAGAGGTAGTGTGGTACCATGGACTGAACAGAGACATTAGCAGGAACTTCTGAATTCTACTCCTGGCTGCTAACTTGCCAACGGACCTTGAGCATCTCCATCTTAAATCTTCCTGCTTCTGTTTTGGCAACTCTTTAAAAAATAAATAAATAAAAAAAATGCTAATGTTCAGAAGCCTTCATCCAGAAAGGATCATGGTTTGTTTCAAAGCACTGTACAATGTATTTTCATTAGTGAAATGTTCATAAAACACTTCTACAAGTCCTTAAAATAGATGCAGAAAAATATCTTAAGAAATGGATTTCCTGCAGTTAACAGATGCTGTAGGAATGATTTTGTCTTTCTTTCCCATCACAAAATGCCAGAAAATTATTCTGAGGAAAAAGGAGTTTTAGGTATTTCTGTTCTTGCACACTATATTTTTCATAAATAGCAACCCATTATGTACCAGGAGGTGACAACTCAGCCTAACCATTTTAGAAATCCTTGTTTTTAACAGCTAGTAAAGCTACCTGAACAAACTTAGGTTGTGGGGTTTATTTGGCTTGTTTTACTGAAAAACCTGTATCTGGATGCCAGTGCTTAAACTATTATTTCAATTTCTGTCTGAGAGTATAGTGATAGGAAGTACTGATAATTATTTTAATGTGGCATTATGCTATTTCACAATGCTTAGCAGCATGAAAAAATGACTTCCTTGTAAGAAAATACTAAAGTATAATATGTGATATTGCAAATGATAAAACATGGTACAAAAGATGGGCTTAAGTGGGCTCTAACCTCCTGTGAGTGTTGTTTTTTTCTTAATTAAAAAAAGGTTTCTAAGAATAGGTATCTTTAAAAAGATTTTTAAGCTTTTTACCCCCCTTTCCATTCCCTACTTTTGAATTTCAGTAAGAGGTGACAACAGGTTTCCCTCACTTTATGCAGGTTCTGTATGTGTGAAATTGCTCTTGTGCAATGACCCTGTCTATATCAACTATTTGTTATATGTGAGGTAAATTCACTCTTATGCGATGGGTGTGGTGGAAGCCTGCAGTCAGCTGCTTTGTGCAGTGCATTGTAGGAGTGACATGCACCAAAATATAGTCTCCTGTGTGGATTTGTGCTCCTCACTCATGGTCTGTGACCATGTGTTTCTGTACTTGCCATCCCCATTATGATAGTGCCTTGTGCTTTTGTGTATTGTCTGCTGTTGGTGAGTACCAAAATTGTCTTGTAAAAGTGGTAGAAATGGGTCTGGGGGTCTGTATAATCAAGGTCTTGAAACATATCCCTATTTGTTATATTGTAAAGTGGGTTCCCTTTATATAAATTTGAGTTATGCACTGTTCTCTAGGGATGCATGTACAGCATAAAGTGAGGGAAACCTGTATAGAATTAGTAGTAAGCAAGTTGCTTCAGAAAGAGCTCTGTTTGTACCTGATCTACAGCCAGGCATTTTGGTGCCTAGTGCAGGTTATGTGCAGAACATTTCCTTCCCCCCCACCCCATTACTATGTAATTACTTCTATTTGATTTGTTGCTCCCCCTCCTTTGCAGTATGCTTCATACCAGTGCACTGTCCTCATTATGGTACTGCAGACATATCTGAACTCTGTGGTAGTTGCTCAGAGAGGCTCAAGGGCAAGAACAGCAGTTAAGGAGCCTGTGATGTCAGCTGCAATTGCATTGCGAACAAAGTACTTCAGTCTCTTGACCTACCATCTCATGGGAAGCCTT